ACCGGTAGGGAGGCGCTTGGTAAAGAGGTGCCTGGTAGGGAGGCGCCCAGTAGGCCGGTAAGGAGGTCATGACTAGTAGGCCGGTAGGGAGGCGATGCCCAGTAATCCAGTAGGGCAACACCCAATAGGAAGGCGACGCCCACTAGGCGAACCCGCTTTCTCCAATCCTGCTTTCTCTTTAATGTTTTCTCGATCCTGGTTCTTTATACTGACATTTTCTCTAATTATAGGCGTCATGTTGATAGGACGATGGTGGAGACTCTTTGTGCTTTTAGGGTGGTGTCTCCCCCTCCTACCAAGAGAGCAAGGTTTGATGCCCCTAGTGCTTTTAGGTCAAGGTCCGAGATTTGGTGCCTTCCCAAGGGATGGGATCAAGTGGTGCCTCCACTCCTTCCTAGACTGGGACTTCTGTGTGTACCAGAACTTGCCCTTGTATCGCTATAGGAATTGAGACTCCAGTGCTATGTTTTTGGAGATTGTAGCTTCACCTGGCTGCCCTACTTCTAATAGTGGCTCTGTGTCAATCTAATATAGTCCCGTGAGTTACAGACGACCTGAGTTTCAAAAATGTGTCTGGTAAAAACAATGTAATTCTAACATTAAAATATCTAACATAATTACCTGAAGAGAAAGACAAGTTATTTGTGTAAGAGCAAAGTCAGAGCTATGAACATCCCGTGAGAGGGATGCAGGAGCTGAGGCCGAGTTACGTATAATCTCGGGAGATGGATGTCGTGGCAGAGGCTTGTAAGGAGACTATTTACTCGAGAGCAGAGTCATAGTTGCAAACGTCCCGTGAGAGGGTTGTAGGAGCTGAGGCCAAGCTACATATAGTTTCGGGAGATTTCTGTCATGGCAGAGACTTATAAGGTAACTACTTGTGCGAAGCAGATTCATAGCTACAAACGTCATGTGAGAAGGCAGCAAAAGCTGAGGTCGAGCTACGTATAATCTCGAGGGATGGTTGCCTTAACAGAGGCTTACAAGGTGACTACTTAAGAACAGAGTCATAGCTGCAAACGTCCCATGAGAAGGCCGCAGAAGTTGAGGCCGAGCTACGTATAATCTCAGGGGATGGCTGTCGTGATAAAGGCTTACAAGGTGATTACTTGCATGAGAGTAGAGTCATAGCTACAAACGTCCCGTAAGAGGGCTGCAGGAGCTGAGGCCAAGCTACGTATAGTCTCTAGGGATGGTTGTCGTCGTAGAGGCTTGTAAGGAGACTATCTACGCAAGAGTACAGTCATAACTGCAAATGTCCCATGAAAGGGCCGTAGGAGCTGAGGACAAGCTACGTATAACTCGGGAGATGGCTATCATGGCAGAGGCTTCCAAGGTGACTACTTGCGCAAGAGCAGAGTCATAGCTTCAAATGTCCCGTGAGAGGCCCGTAAGAGCTAAGGCCGAGCTACGTATAACTTGGGAGATGGCTGCCGTGACAGAGACTTCTAAGGTGACTACTTACGCGAGAGCAGAGTCATAGTTGCAAGCACCCCGTGAGAGGGCCGTCGGAGCTGAGGCCGAGCTACGTATAGCTTAAGAAAAGGTTAACGTGACAGAGGCTTACAATGTGACTACTTCCGCGAGAGCAGAGTCATAGCTGTAAGCGCCCCATGAGAGGGTCGTTGGAGATGAGGCCGAGCAACATATTGCTTGGGAGAGGGCTGCTGTGGTAGAGGCTCATTCCATAGAAATGAAGAGGGTGCTAAGGAGCAGGGCTCCTGAGGTGTTGGGCACTCGAGGTTGGGTGCCTGGTGTTAGGCGCTGGTCTTGGGAGCCTGGTGTTATGTGCCTAGTGTTGGGCACCTAGTGTTGAGAGGGCCATTGTTAATTTCTTTGGTTTCTTCCTCTATGAGACACCAGTAATAGTTGGTGACGGGGAAAGCCTTGATGATAGTGGTTGTGGCTCAGGGAGTAGTGACTGATCTCCAGGAATATGATGATTGTTGTCTTTTTGTCTATCTTGTTGTTAGGTCATGTTCTGACTTTTGTAAGCTGTTTGTAAATTTTAGGAAAGCAAAACAATTCGGACACAATAATCTTCATAGAATTTTACTTCATAAAATAATAAATAACAAAATAAATCAACTGAAACAATAAAAAATAGATAAAATCTTCAGGTGTTCAGTGTCTCATAGGTGGGCCAAGACTTTCTTGGTGAAGTTCGAGTCACCTCCTCCTCTTGGCCCTCAAGAGATAGTTTGGATTTCTCCAAAAGGTTGTTGGCGTTCTCTGTCATCCTGGTCCCGACCAGGTGGCGGGGCTTGTCCTCTGCCAGTAACGTACTACTTCAAGTGACCACGCTGTATGAACTCCTCGATCTACCTTTTAAAATCAAAGCAGCCGTCAGTATCATGGTCGTGGTCGTGGTGGAAATGGGAGTACTTATTCGGACTTCTCCAGTTCGGGACGGTCTTCATCTTCTCTAGCCAACATATTGTAGTATCACCTTGTATTTGGATCAGAATATGCTCCACGAAAGTATTGAGCGGTGTGAAGGCTTGTCGCTCTCTTAAAGGCGAGGGACCAAGGCGGTCCTTGACAAAGATTCTCTCTATCATGTTCCTTTTATTTTCTGCTTCCCGCTTGTCCTCACGGGTGTCCTTCTTTTTCTTGTCCCCATGGGAGGACTCACCTCGTCTGGCCTTAGTGACATCCTCGATGTTTCATATACTTTTATGCCCTTGACAACAATTCAAGTATGCTGGATAATGACTTCTTGAGGATGGAGAACATAAAGCTGGAGTAAAGAAGACTCGCGATAAAGGTGGCTAGGGCTACTTTATTGTCTGGCTCCTCAATTTGGAGAGCCTCCTCATTGAAATGGGTGAGATAGTTCCTGAGGCTTTCATTTGTGTCCTGCTTGATGGTGAACAGGTGGGTCACAGGATTCTAATGTCGGCGTCCCCCCAATAAAGTGAGAGACGAAGGATTTACTCAGTTACATGAAGGAGTGGATCGAGGAGGGTTTAATCTTTGTGAACCATTGGTGAACAGACCCCTTCAAGGTGGTAGGGAAGGTTTTACACATAATCTCCTCAAGTATGTTGTGGAGTTGTATGAGAGATTTATATATGTCAAGATGGTTGAGGGGGTTTTTGATACCGTTAAAGATCTAGATAGTAGGCATCTTGAACTTCAAGGGTAAGAGATAATTGACTATGCCTGCAACAAAAGGTGTATCAGTACATCTAACTAGGTAATTCATCCTCTCGGGCACCTAAGCCTTGATGGTATTGAGGGTATCATCGAGTTGGTTTTGCACCTATCTGATTTTCTCGTCCTATTGATTAGGGACATCCTCAGTTGGATGGTGATACTAGCTTTCATAATCGTCATATTGGCTCTCCTTCGTCTTCCTGCGCAGATAAGTGTGGAGGGGGAACACATGAGCTCCCTGCACATTGAGGAGAGACTGATGGGCTAGGAGAGCACTAGGACGTTCTGGCAAGGGGCATGAGGGGCTGCCTGGTACCCAGAAGGGATGGGTTGCTGCTCCTCTCCTGTTGGAGGGAGTAGGGCTCCTCTTACGGGGTGAGGGGCAACTCCTTCCGGGGCGAGCATCAACTGAATGATCTGCTAATTTTGGTTTACCAGCAATTGCATGGTCTGTAAAAGCTATTGCTCGACGACGAGAGTCGACGTAGCAGATGGTTTTGATAGTGCAAAGGCAGGCGGAGCCTCCCCCCGGTGGGTCTGGTTGTTGTCTCCTGGTTGTTGACTCATCGATCTGGTCGTGATTGTCATGGATTAGAAGAGGATAAAAAACTTAGTCACTTCCCACAGACGGCGCCAAACTGATGATACACAAATTGGTCTCGTACAAGATCAACAGTCGAATATATGTAAGAGTGCAATTAATGAGCAATAAATAGGCAATCAATGGTAAAACTGTAAATATAAGCAAACACAAAGATATATAGTGGTTCGGTTCGGGTGACCTACTCCACTCTCGAAAAACGGTAACGGTGGCTGGAGTTCTTTATTGATGAATAAAGTAACCAAGAGAGTATATTCCAAGGGAGTTAAAATGCTTTAAAAGAGAGAGAGACAGACAGACTTGGTGTGTAAAGAGATATAGAGAGGTGTGTGAGATGTAGAGAAGTCTTGAGGTCTCAAGGTGATGCCTCTCCATGTGGAGAAGGCTTACATTATATAGGTTTAGGAAGGCGGTGATGTGAGGGAGGGGATTCTACTCTTTTGGTAAGTATAATCAAGGTAGGATTGAATTTCCATGAGTACGTATCTCGATAGTCTCTTCCACGTGCTCCTATCTCTCCAGTCTTCTTGGATTCTGGACTGGATCGGACCAGCAAAGTAGGCCTGGGCCACCATTTATCTGACTTGGGCCTTCTTAATTTATTGGGCCTAGCCATGTTGATTTTGAGCTCATTAGTATTAAAATAATATTCATTTATATTTTAAATAATTAACCAAAATGATTGAAAGTTTAAATTTTGAAGGAGTTGAACAAAAAAAAAAGTAGTATTCTTTGTGGCATACCATGTGAGTTTGTATCCCATTTGCATTCTAAGCTTTTGACCACCTAAATTAGTAGTCTAATAGTAAGTCGTACTCAATTAGGGATATAAGTGCAAATATTATTTAGTATAAACACGATTCAGCTTAGAGAGGAAGACAAAATGAAGACAAAAACAAATAAGGCAAAGGTTAATTGAAAAGATTAGTTAAAAATGTAAAACGTGTTTCAAAAGCGTTCTTAAAAAAGGTGCAAGTTAAGGTGCAAGTAAGTTAAGGTGAATGTAAGTTAAGGTGAATGTAACTTGACGCGAAAAATACAAAAGAAAAAAAAAGTTGCATGCGGGTATCAAGTCAAGTGAGGCAACCCACCGGTTAAACCTATCGGGTTTGGTGCGGTTTGAAACTATATTGAAAGGTGTGCCTACAAGACAAACGTGCGCATCGAGCGCCGAAACTGCGAAATCAACCCCAACGAGAGAGGAGAGAGAGAGAGAGAGAGCGAGAGAGCTCTCTCGACTATGGCGGAAACAAAAGCAGAGGATGACGATGACGAGAGCTTCGGTGATTTCACATTCGCATCCTTCCCTTCGGATCCCACCTTCCATTCCAAGTCCGATCTAATCAAAGGCCCAAAATCCATTGCCACCGACAACAACGACGATGACGAATGGGGTGATTTCGTCGAACACCCACTTGGATCCAGTGCCCTCTTCCAAACCCTATCACGTCTCAACATCTCTGAACCCTCCAAACCTTTCGACCGTTTTGGGTTTTTCTCAGATCAGTCCGCAAAACCTTCTCAACCTGTGGAGAGTACTCGCGATGAGTTAGCGCTGAGTCGATTTGAATTGGAGAAGAAGATTCAGGCTCAGTGGGTAAAGCCTAAAGGAGCTTTGCCATTATCAATTTTCGGGGATGTTGAAGAAGAGGAAGAGGAGCCATCCGGTGGGGTTGATCCCCTGGCTGGTAACGATAAGGGCTCGTTTAGTGTTGTTGCTAATGGGAGAAATGGATTGAATGTGAGTACAAGAGCTGGGTTTGATGATATTATTGCAAATGTGTACAATCAGAATCAGCAGATCAAGGCTGAAAATAGGTCAAATTGCAATTCAAATGGCTTGAACTTGAATCCTAATAATGTTCATGCGAATACGAATGGTTCCATATTGAATCTGGCCGGGTTGAATTCAATCTCAGATCCAGTTGGTGGGAAAAATGATATAGATATTATGACAAATATGTATAAGAATGGTCAGCAGACGAACACTGAAAGTGGGTTTAATTTGAATTCGAATGGGTCAGATTTGGATTTGAATACATTAAGTTCAGCTGGTAGTGGGTTGAATTCGGATATTAATGGGTTAAATTCCAATTCCAATGAGCAAAGATCCAATGTTGGTGGGTCGAATTTGGATTTTAATGGGTTCAATAACAATTTGAATGCGCAAAGTTCTACTCTTGGTTGGATGAATTTGGACTTTAATGGGTTAGATTCCTATTCAGAAGAGCAGGATTTGGACACAAATTTGCCGAGCACAAATGTAAAGGGATTAAATTTGGAGTTTAGTGGGCAGCAATTCAATTCAGACTCGGGTGGTGGAAATGAGGAGTTTGATGCTGTTGATGATGGATGGGAATTCAAGGCAGCATATTCGGATTCAAAGAATGGAGATGAGAATGCTGAGGTAAGTCTTTGATACTTTCGGTTTTGATTGGTTTGTGCAGTTGTAGCTTTGTAAAATTGGGTTCTTTATGGTTTTGACACTCATAATAGGGACATGTGCTGTTCGAACTAACAGAATTCAGAGGCCAATTGGAGATAGGCCAAGAACTGCAGGCCGATATTTTTTAATCTCAAGATATCAAATTGTGTTTGTGCTTTTATGACAAGATTGATTTTAAATATAAAGTACTCACAACTTAATCCATAAAGTCATTCTCTTTCCAGTATAGAACATAAGCCTGTAAATTTGTTAACATAGAGTGTGTAGGGACTTAAATTGCTATTGACATTTGAAAATGCATCATTTTTGTGTTTCTTCATTTTTTGCATGGATGATAATGTCTACTAGTATGGAGACTAATTTGGTTCATAAAAAATGGCATCTTCTAAGGTGAAGGTTGACCAGAAGATGCCAGAAATATATGGGATGACCACAGACTCATCCGTGCTTGGCAATGGTGCACATGGATTTGGAGATTTATTTGCTGTATCAAATGGATTTTCTAGTAAATCCGGTGAGACGGATATTGGTGTTGATTTCATGCCCAGTACAAGTGAGCCGAATTATGCCAGAAATGGTTTGAATTCTCAGTCAGTTGTCAAGGCTTCTGATCCTGATGAAAACTTTGGAGAATTTAGGGCGGCAATTTCAAAAACTGGGTTAAAGCATGATGTGAGTTACAGTTTATTTTAAGCTTCATATATATTCTAGGTCTATTTTGTTACACAATGTACTTATTGATAAAAAAAAATTATTGTAGGAAGAGCCAAAGGTTAATGGTCTTTCTCACTTTGTGGTTGGCAAAAGCCAGGTGGACAATAATTCAGTTGGATCTATTGATTTGTTTGCTGTACCAAATGGATTTTCTAGTGAATCTGGTGTGATGGGCATTGGGATTGATAGCAAGGAGAGTACAGTGGTACAAACAGATTTGCACGATGAAAATGAGCAGATTGGTTCAGAAAATGAGTTACATTTTCTTCCATTTGTCAAAAATAGGCGTCTTGGCGAATCTACGGCACCAATTCCAGAAAAAGGATCAAAAGAGGTCAGTTATGGTTCCATTTGACCTTCGCCTTTTTTTTCTTTCCCTGTGCCTATGTGCTACATATTGTACTTATTGAATGTAATTTTGGTTATACAAGGAAAAAGTACCCCCATTTGATGGGCTAAAAGAGGTGGGTGATCCATTTGATATAATAGCATACTAACAGCTATTTTGATGGATTAAAGTTTCCGAAGTCTAATTGGGATCTATGATTTTATGGTAGATGTCTATTGTTTTACACTAGTGATTGATTGTAGTGAATACTCGACTCATTTCAACAAATGCATGTTATTCAATGGGNTTACTAACAGCTATTTTGATGGATTAAAGTTTCTGAAGTCTAATTGGGATCTATGATTTTATGGTAGATGTCTATTGTTTTACACTGGTGATTGATTGTAGTGAATACTCGACTCATTTCAACAAATGCATGTTATTCAATGGGGTCGGGTCACATGAAATTACCTAGGAATCTGTTTGACTGCTGTTGCATGCCACCATGTTTAACCCAAATATCAATCTTCATCCTTTCTTGTCCATGGTTCAACTTTGCGATATTGGCCATCGACTCAAAGAGTTTTAAGACACATCAGCCGAGGCATCACGACACGGTATCAGGCGGTACAACCTAAAAAAAATATTGAACATAACAAGAGATTCAGGTTATACTGCGGTGCTGCAAAATCATATCGGCCGATTCGGTGATAACAACTCGGCGAATCGGGATTGACTCAGATACAATTCGGACGACTCAGCTGAGTCGTGCGAGATTGGGGATTTATAACGGTATTTTTCTCGGCCAGCTTGTATGAGTATTGGCTGATAGTTTAAACCATGTTCTAATCTCTCGTGTCTAGTTGATCGTTTGTTTATTCGTATACTTTTCCCCGTCTAAGCTAAAACCAGTGCATATGATCATCTCAGCGAGGTTTTGATTCTCATATTCAGCAGACACCTATTTATTCTATGTAATGGCCCTCTTCTACTTGGGGCTATTTTTGCTGCTTATTGGTCTCAAAATCCTCATTTTATTTGTGCTGTTCTGAGGTCGTTTTTTTTTAACTACCTTATACTTGATATGTTAAGTGTGGTTCTATTACAGGTAGTTTCTAAAATTTCAAGAGAGAACGAATTGTCTACAAAAAAATGCTTTCTCATTTGAATCATCGTGCTCCAGTTCTATAAATATTATGTTCTCCATGTTCCTTATTCATTTATTTTTTGGCTTCAAGCCACAAAAAAGGGTCTCTCCCCTTGCGAGCTAAGGTTTTGTGTCTCAATTCCCCAGAGTTCATACTGGCAGGAGTCTCGTGCATTAGTGATACATGTAGGTGAGCCGTGATAACATAAGTCACTTAAAATTGTTAATTATCAAAAATAATATCAAGCTTCCAAGAGTTTTGTTGATTTGTAGAATGCCAAAAAGTTGATTGGAAAGAACAAAAAGGTGTTAGTGAAATATTATTTAGAAGAAGGTCCCTTAAAAGGGTTACATAGTTGGCTATTTATAATAGCAGCATGTCAAACCAAATAGGAAACAAAATATACTAGAATCCTAATTGACTTTGGGAATAAAATAAATAGTGTAAAACTTGGAATTGTTGAGAACAAATACATTTGCTTCGTTTGAACAACATTGATCTCGCTAGAGTTAGATGTCAAGATTATTGCCATGCAAATACCATCATGCTCCCCAAATTGGAAAGAATTATCCCTTGAATTTGACTTTGATACTTTTNCTCATTTGAACAACATTGATCTCGCTAGAGTTAGATGTCAAGATTATTGCCATGCAAATGCCATCATGCTCCCCAAATTGGAAAGAATTATCCCTTGAATTTGACTTTGATACTTTTGTCTCCACTTGAATTTAGGATCAACATAAAATTTAACCCTTTATGTGTTCCATAAGCTTGTAGAAAAACTATAATACCATCTCGAAGAGCCTCTTGTTTTGAACACACCCACAACTTCACTTCAATAACTTCGTATTTTCAAGAGTATGAATCTATTATGTGGCTTAGCTTTCTTAACCATATACTTACCTAGGTTGTCAAAACGTGTATCAAAAGGTGTAAATAGTGTATTGTGTATGATAACGTATCATGTATCGTAAGATATGTGCAATTTATAAGCTATATTCAAAACTACATGTGCATATGGAAGAAGGTCATAATAACATTTTATTTCACCACAAATTTCACACATAACATTATTTAAAGAGATTGCAAGGTCCAAAACAAAAATTTAACAATTCAACTATTTCAAAATTCCAACATAATTCATCAATCTCAAAATTTAGAGACTTCTAGTTCTAACATCTAGAGGAGCCAAAGGAGAAGACTTTTAACAATCTAATTATTTACTCCTGCGATGGAACAAACAGCAAAAGTAGACTTCTACTTTTAAAATTCTGGATCATGAAATGACATCATTTCATTGCCTAGTGTTTAAAAAAGATTAATTACATGTTTAATAGAACTGTGTCAGCCTGTATTGGATGACTTGTATGTGACACAGTGCAAATTCAATACTCTTGAGCGATAAGTATAGTTTTTTTCTTTTATTGAGACATACGGTATGATACTAACAACCATAATGATCTATCCATTCTTAATTCTTGGCGCTTAATTTTTTGCCACACTAGAATTAATATATATTTCTGCAGTGTGTTTATCCCCAAAATTAAAGGGAAGAAGATGCACTTTTATAATATTTGTACATAATCTACTTTGGATCAGCAAGCATGTTGACAAAGACTGTATCAATAACATCTTGATTCCGCAATCTTGAGACTCTGGCAACGAGCAATACAGCTATATCTTTGTCCATGTCTTTATTTAAAATCTCAATGGGCTCTTGACCGTAAACAGCATCATGATGACCCTCGCGAATTACTGCCGGTGCCCTCAACAACTAATGGTCAAGTATGAACATGGGAGAACTGTGTCAATACATGAGCATGCTGATCCTTGAAATGTTTTATAACATCACATGTAGATTGCTCGTCTTCAATGGGTCCATGATTGATGAGGGAAATAATAGGAAGGCAAGTGTGAGGATTGGATAATGTCTCTTTGGCCTTGTTGTCACAATCATATGAGGCAGAGATTAGTTTGTAATCCTCCGGCTATTCCTCGTATATCAGAAATGCATTCCAATTAACTTGTGACTGAAGAAAAGATAAATTATTATCTAAGAATACCTCTTCCAAGTTCATGTCAAGAACTTGTAACCTCCTCTTGCTAAGGGTAAGTAGTTGAAGTTTTAAATTCCTTGGAAACTGCCCCCACTGATTGTATTTGGTGCTTTTAGGAAAGATTTGAGCTGAATGATTCAGGAATATATAATTGCATTATTTGATGATTTTAAGGAAGTTCTGGTTAGGACATGGTTTCCTGGACATCCTATATTTATACTGATATGGGCTCCCTCTTTTTGGCTATCTTGATGACTGGCATTTGATTTATACTTGCGTGTACTTTGATTTTGCCGTTTTCACTTTGTTGCATATTTAGTAATAATTGTCTGTTGCCTCTATTTAAGAAGAAAAGAATTGGTTACATCTCCTTCATTAGTCAAGTAAAAGCTTTTCTATTATTGAAAAGCAAAGTTTGCTTCCAGTATGTGCTTTGGTTGCCCTATTTTTTGAAATAAATTTACAAAATCTCTTTGTTAATTTTCCTTTTTCAGGGAAATGAGACAAGGTCAGAGACTCCGAAAAGGGCATTGCCCCTATCCATATTTGGTGATGAAGAACAGGTGACTGATGAGACGTTAAATGTTCAAGATGATTTCATGCATCAGCCTGTTTCCCACCCAAGAAATGTTCAAAGACAAGGTTCAACCATATCTATCAATGACTTAATATCAAACCTGTACAGTCAAGCTGAGCAGATCCCTTCTGTTGGCACTATGGAGAAACAAACTGTAAATGAATTAAGTTCCACTGAAAGAATGTTTGACTCTAATTCAGTGGATGGTGGTGATGATTTTGGTGATGGTTCATGGGAATTTAAGGATGCCTCCTCCCAAACGAGGGCTGAAAATCAGACTTTTTTTCTTAGTCTTGGAGACGCACATCAAAATATTTCTCCCAAATTGAAGCTGAACAATTATGTGGATTTCTACTGTAAGCTTAAGGATGAATTGTGCTTTGTTGCTCGATGCCATCTTGATGGTTTAAAGGTGGATAAAATAAATAAAATATTTTCTCATGTTATTATTATCATATGAAGAGAGATTTTCATATATAAACATCACTATTGAATCACTGGCATCTGTTTTTTTGGTTAGGAAGCTCGAAGTGCTGCTGCTGTTTCTGGCCAAGGTGTGAAAGTGGCTGCTCTTGATGAGGAAATCCAGGTCAATAATGACTCATGCTTAGTTCTCTGTACTATTTTACTGTTTTTATTCTTGTCACTTCTTGTGCTTTTTATGCTTTGATGTTATGATCTGAACCTTAGATGTTTGGTTATTTGAAAGCATTTCATTTCAACAATTTATTTGTGTGTTTCTTTGCAATATGAAGTTCATGGTAATGATAGCCAGCCTGACTTATCTGGAATTTGTCAAAGAAGATTTGCATAAAATTTGGAGATTATGATGCTAAACTTCTTTCTTCTTTTTAAAGAAATGTGCTATCGATAAAGAATAAATAATTTCTATCTTGTGGACATTGCTTAGAAGCGGGGCACATCCTATGTGTGTTACTGTAAATTCCTTACATTATGCTTGGTAAGTGAACACATTCTGAATCCAGTGACGCCAAGGTTTGATTTCTTCATACTGCCTTGGTTTACTCTTCAAGTGTATTTGCTGTCTGCGTCTGGGGTTACAACTTAGACCAACTGTTTGAGTAATGGAGTCCAACAATTTCTTTACATTAATTACAAAAAAAAAGCTCTTTATTTGAGTTTTTGGTAGGCAATATAGCTTTCAGTAAGTTTAGGTTTGGGAAGCACTTAATTAACTTTTCTGTAATTTCAGAATGTCATTTTCACATCTATGAATTGTGTGTTCTGGCTTATCTTATGTTGTCATTGAGATTTGTGTGCTGAAGAAATCATTTATTTTTGTGGAAGTTTAAGTTCGGTTGCGGTCCTGTTATGGCTCGGTAGGCCTGTGTATGGGTCGGAGGTCCTATTATAATGGGAACACTTTTTTTCTGTTATATTCCCTTATGATGGGGATGACAATGGAGCAGTTGTGAGATAGAACAGTCCTAGTTCCATACCATTTTTGGAAAATGGAGACGATGTCCAAAAGTTGTCCAACCCCAATACGGTGCTGCTAGTTTCCGCCAAAAGTGATTCATTAGATATTTTGCCTCCAAAAAATTATTACGTTTGTGTCATGGTTTTGGGCTGCTACGCCTGATGTGTTTTACGACATCGTGGCTGAGCTTTACCCCTGGTTTGGAAGTATCCTTTCTTAAGGATTATAAAATGCTGACACTTTTCTGGGTGAACCAGAGATGTTTGGTATCCATAAATTGGCATTGTGAGCTTCGAGTAAAAAAGCAAATAGATAAATGAGTCTAGATAAAGGAGAGAGACTCTGTTGCTTGTGAGGCTTTTGTGTACTAAAGTCACGAAAAGAGGGGCCCATATGCTTTGCGGCTTTGTCAGGGAGGTTGGGGTAATTTCTGAAGAATGGCATTCATCAGCCAACTTAACGGTGAAGATATCTTGTAGATGATAATACCACACTCTACTATCCAGTCACTGCCCCCTGGAATGGGGTTGCCCCAGACACGAAGGAGAACAGAGCTGGGAAGATCGTACGCTACAGTAGGTAGTTCCGTTTATGTCGTGAGCTGATTATGTCAGTGATTTTCGTACTGCATCTGGAGGAAGGGGTTGGGTGAGGATAGACTAGAGTAAAATTCCAGGTACTGGCAAATCATCATACGAGTTCAGAAAGTTTGGAAAAGAGAGGCATTGTTTATCTGATATGTAGCATGGTATCAGGTGAACTCTCTGGAGAATGGGGTGGTGAAGAAGCAATTCCATGCCAAACCTGGTCTGAGTTAGTAATTGAGATATCATTACTAGCCTCATTCTTTGTCGGGCGGGCTGTGTTACTTGACATGTTGGGTTCATTGCCATCCCACCTTTAAGGAAATCCGTTGTACAAGAAGCGTTGCATAGCTACTGTACAACCTCGATAACTTGAGATTCAGAATGTAACTGAAACAATCAGGGCCAACTTAAAATTTCATAGCTGTACACAGAAAATGTTAATGGTCTTGGTTGCTTGGTGCCATGTTGGTTGGGGAGGGTGACGGAGAGGAGGGGAAATGTTGGAAGATCTTCAGAATTCACCCTTCATATGAATAATATGGGATATCTAAAACATGTAATGTTCACCTGCTATTATGGGATGAAGATATACAGTGTTCACCTGCTAGTGTGATCATAATATGGGATTTGTATAATAAATGTTCACCTGATCCCATGAAATTTGTGGATTTTATGGAAATGGACACTAGATATATGCTAGTTTGACAAGTCTTCTGGAAGCTTGTACTTCTTCTTACCTCCACTTTACTTTCTTTCATTTCTTGTCAGCCCCCTCCCCGCAAAAAAAAAAAATAGCAGGTATCGTTAAAATGCAAGGAAATGGTAGTTGGATGTGGGCTCTTAGTACACTACAGATATAGCTTTTCTTTTCTTGGATCTTTATGAAGAGATTTAATTTATCCTTTTGCCTTCACCACCTTCTCTGTCTCTGCCCCTATCTCTCAGTATGCTTTTACATATGGTACATAGGAGCAATCAAACTACATTATGTCGACTCTACCCTATTCTTTTCTGAATATAGTCCCTTAAGCTCATATGATTTTTATTTTCTGGTCCATAGGTGCCTTTTCCTTGTTACTACCTTTCTGCAATACTTCAATGTGTATCCAGCTTCTTATTATTTTGTCATCTATTGTAGGCGACCTGTAAGGGACTTCTCCAAGAGAATATAATTGTCGAAGGAGCTGATTCAAAAGACTGTTCACCAAGAGATCTTTGTCTTACTGACTTTCTTGACGTTCTGCATGAGCAGAAGTTTCAAATACTTGAGTTGGAATACCACTTATCAAGAAGATTGTCGTTAGTATGTGTCTTCAGTCTTCTGCATTAATTTTTTGATGAATTCTTGAGCAATAAATTTGCTAGTTCTATACCATTTGATGCTTCTGCATGTGAGAATATTTGTTGTTTTAGAATATTTGATAAACTTCCACTCAACCTTTACATTTAAGGATGATAGCCTTAAGTTCTGATTTCTATTATCATCATGAGCTTCTTTAAAAGGGAAAAACAGTATGGTCGATATCAACTAATGTTATACCTCCAAGGATGAGCACATGTCGATTAGCCATTATTTTGGACTACTTGCTGTGAATGACTTTTAAATATAGTGACAAGTCTGCAGTGATATTAACATGTCTATGCGCTGTTAACGTGGATTGTTCTCTACTTGAGAGTGGAAAACACCTTTGATTTTGAAACCTTGGCTTTTGATTTTTTGTTCCCTGTCGTTTAACAAGTTAACTTTTACATATGTTTTGATTATATATATTTTTTGCTTTTAGTCGTTGCATGAATATTTCAGAAAGTAAATTTGGTAAATGGATTCTTGCATTTCATTTTTTTAGTTGGTGCATGTGTCATAGTTTTGCATGTGCGACATTCTCATATGAAGTTGAATATCTATTTTTATTGGAAGCAATCCTTTGATCGAAGCTCAGACTATAAGCACATTTGTAGATTTTAGAAGGTTCACCAGTTTATTGCAGTTAAGGATTCAGTGATGAATATTGCATTACTTGCATTTTTTCTGAATAGGCAGAAAAGGATTTGAGATCAGTGATTGAACTCTTCAAACATGCCTCAACAATGTTGAAGATTCTGACATTGGGATCAATGGATGAACAGTCAAATTATGTCTCCACATGGCTTCAGATAATCTCTGTTTGTGCTCAAGAGTTGAAGCATGGTTCCTTGATTTGGAAGCAGTCATTAGAAAAGGATGTCAGACTTTGGATTCTCTCTCAAACTCGGGGTACTGCACCACAAGCCTTTTTTTTTTTTGTCCTTTTTTCTGATGGAAGTGGATTGATTATTATGCATGTTGGATTTACAGTTGTAGCCATTATAGTAGCTGTGGCTTTTGTGAGAATAATAACCTTAAGTAGCAGTATAACCAATGAGAAGTATATTATTTTGATTCTGCACAAAAAGAAAAAAATCAAATAAACATTGATGACAGGTTTATGTGCTTTTCAGTTTCTAGCATTTGACAAAATTTCTTCTGTTGTCGTACACAACAATATTGTTATGATATATACAGGGAAAAGGTTCATTCTTGCCCTCGGGGAGATTTATAGAGTGGTGGTGGTTCTGGGAGCCTCAGCGAAACTTTACAAGCCATGGATACTATCTAGTTCTGTGGATTCTGCGCAACTCAATGTTCTTTTCGAAGAATGTCATGCTCTATGGTCTAGTTCAGGGCTTAAAGAAGCACTATTGAGCATATCAGATCCAATTGGTTCCGAATATTTCAGCACTGTTGAGGCATTGACTCATTCCATTGAGTATGTCTATAATCTGGATGCTCTTGCACTTGCAAACCTTGTTTTCAAGGGGCAAGAAGCCGTTTGTCAACTGTCAGCATTAACTGCAGGAGTTGTACCAGGTGAGTTAACTGAAACTTTCTAGTTAAATAATTAAGAAAATTAGGAAGAGCTGTAAAGGTTGGATTCCTGAATTTAAGCTTGTCATAAGGAGACTCGTATCAGTTTAAGTCAATTTCACATTTTGCTTTAATTTAGATTCTGTTCCAAAGCACTGAAACAACATTTAAACAAATTATTGAATTGTTCAAATCAAACCCAAATTTGAAATTGTGACTTTTTCATCAAAATTTCAAACTTGTGTACTCTAGAATAAAAAGGGTATCCCTATTGCCAGGCTAATGGCAGTGAATCTTGCAACACATAGTTCAGCTGTCTTCAGCATCGCTTTCTCTAGCATCCAGAGTTGCTTGGGGAAAAAGCAGCAGCCAATGAATTGAACTTGATAATAATTAATTGTCATATCTGCTTTAAGCACCTTGATAATTTGGTGTAGTTTGCCATTTATTACTCTATTTGTGTTTATAACAATTTGAATTGCCGCAATCAGGCATGAAAATGGTGATCTGGAATGGAGAGCGCTACTTTCTCACGCTTGCAAATTTGTGGGCAAATTTGATAAGCTGTGATCCTCCAAAGTTGCCTCTATTACATGTTGGCTGATGTGTGAAGTCATGAGAGAAAATAGGAAGGTTTTAACAGGCTCTTGTTTAAGCTGCAATGCCGCCCAGCTGTTTTTGTAAGGGTTGGGGCCACCAACGAGTCATCGACCTTTGTTCGTTAGCTGTGAAGATTACTAAGACGAGAAAAAATTGCTGACTAACATTTTGAGATCCAAAAGGGCCTTGCAGTCAAACCAGAGCTGTGCGCATGATCATCATTTTTTTGTGTATTTGTTTTCCAAATGGCATTCTTTTTGTATTAGCTTTAGCATAGTATTTGGATATAGTGGTGTTGTATCTCTATGTTATTTGTAGTGTTTGAGCTGAAGCTCAAGTGAAGTAAAATAAAACCCCCATACACCTAGGTATAGAATTGTGAAAACCAAGAACATGTATTTATTGTACCTCATTCTAAAAAATTTCTCGCAAGTTGATGGTTGGAAATGAAAATTTGTTTAGGTTGCAAGTGCTACATGGTGGTTTTACTTTATGACAGCATTTTGAATTACACAAGCTGTGCCAATTTTTCTTAAAAGGCAATTGGTGCTTTTTCGTATCATTTTGTCCACGAGTTTTACAACTCACGAGGTTTTACAAGAGCGGGATGGCAGTGTATCGGAGAAAAATAGATATTCGTTTAAATTTGTCTTGTTTGGCCAAGAGATAGATTATATGTATTATATGGTGGACGTATACGGAAATACTAATAAAACCTCGTGCGGGAATGAAGGCGGGGATGGATTTATTCTTACCACCGCCCTGCCCTCGCTATCTGTTAAAAATATATATATACTCTCAAGCCCTAACTTACAATGGTCCAAGCAAAGATGTAAAGATCCATTAATGCAACAAGTTTCACCAGCTAATAGGCTCAGCAGAGGACATTAAGCTTCTTACTGTGGGTTAAGTAGAGAAAAAAGAATGATTAGCTATATCATGATCTTGGCATGAGTGAAGTAGTTAATAGATGATGGAGAATTGATTGTAGTATTAGGGTGAGATTTAACTAAATTAGATATTATAGGGTTGGGTATAATTTTTCTTAATACTGGTTCAATGCTATAATGTTCAGTAATACCATATATAAAGTATCGATTAAATCTATGCAATATGTGGTATAAAATTAGTCTTGTTTTATACCCGAACCAAAAAATCCTTTCAATCCTTTAAAATAAAATTAGTCTTGCATTAAAATGTTGAATTCATTTAAAATTTTAGATTATGCTAGTTTGAGTTTGAGCTTGGGCAGGTACGGGGGAAGCGGGGATGGGGACAGAGATTAAAAATTTACCCGCGGACAAAAATGGAGATAAAAATTATACCCGTTAATGGGGGTGAACCGAGGATGGACAGGATTTTTTAAAGCGGGTACGGGGATGGAGACTACACCCCCGCCCCTCTTCGATCCACTGACATCCCAAGCAAGGAGAGATTACATAAAGAGCACCAATGGAGTGCTCTCTTTGCTGGTAATTTGTGATTCGATGTAATATGACATCACGCTTCGCCTATCTAACTTCAGATAAAATGAGTCACTTTAGTTTTACTATAAGTATATTAAGTATATAGTGAGTATATATAATTTATCTCTAATTGAGTATAAATATATATTAAGTGCAAGGAATGCCGAACTATATAAATGGATTTATTCATGGTTTTTCTTAATGAAAGATATGGATGATAATTGACTTTCATATTATTTTTCTTTATGGGTTTGGTATATGTAGATAAAAAATGATGAATGGGATTATGGCACTCCACTAATCGCCAATGCAAAAAGATGCAACCAAAAAGAATAAAACATTGTTTTGCTCTGGTGTATGTGTCAGACCCCATATAACAAGCAAGCTTTTTACCCTTAAATTCAAACATATGGGTGCAAAATGCTATTAGCTCTATTTTTATTCTGCTTCGGCAATGCTTTTTTACCTTTTCTTCGTTCTGGACAGGAGCGTTAGTGGATACGGGAAGGGAGTAAGCGAAGCACTCTTCGTTATATTTTTACTCAATTTCACTCAATAATATATCATCACTCATGTATGTGTGAGGAATTAACATATAAATAGTGGGTACATTGGGGTGATTTAACATTAAGTGACTTAAGGTACTAAAAAAAAATATTCAATATCATATCGTCATTTACAATTTTTGTTGATGTTTTTACGACTTTTATGGTAACTTGTAAAAGTGGTAAACACAGTTACCCCAAAAATGGTAAAAACACCTACAAAAATTATAAATTTTTTTGGTATAAAACCACGCATTAAAGTTGATACAGATGAAATTCACGGCCAAGGTTTTGATGGCCCAGAAGCCTAACCAGCCCAAGAGGTCTTGAGCAAAAAAGCAGGACCAGGCATCGGCAAAAAGCCTATAGCCCAGCAATCCAGCCCCAGCCCAAACCATAAAGCGATTTGGAGAGTAAAAGCCCAATCCAAGGAATATCCGAATGAGCAAAGGGGACCACGCGTCCAGGGGGACCACCCCTAACACCTGCGGCAATCTCAAAGAAGGTGGAGCACCAAGCCGCCAGAGATCATGGCAACGGCAGCGCCGGGTGAATAGGAATGCCGAATGAACAGTGATCGTGGTGGCAGAAGAGGCAGGAGGGGGTCAGGAGAAAGGACAGCTGGAGGCCCTAGGAGAAACTGGTATAAATGTATAATGATAAGAAGAGGACTGGATCTCTTCCCCCAAAAAAAAGATCAGGGAACATTAGAGAGCAAAAGAGCGTAGAAAACTAAGAGTGAATACCTAGATAATCATTCTTTGTAAGTGGACCCCGAGTCCCCAGAAACTAGAGGCACTTTGTCGACCGATGAATATATAATCCCAGCGAGCAAGAGACCTCGTTGATAGTGGATGTAGCATTAATCCTTCGGCTAAGGTGAACCACTTATATTCCCTGTCAAACTGTTCATAAAAGTTCAACCCATCATCTGCAAAACCATTTTCATAACACCATACAACCTTAGTTGGGCTTAGGCCACAAATTCTGACCACCATCAGTTGGCGTCGTCTGTGGGAAAGGTTTTCATTGTTTTCTTATCTAGTTTCTATTTGATGGTTTCAACTCGGAATATGAGTGAAGCTCCTGCCAACCCTCAAGCCCACCAGAACCTGCTAGAAGATCCCCTAATTCCAGAAGTGGACACTGTGAACCACTTCACAGCGACAAAACCTTCCCCCTCTTGAGGGGATAGATACTTTTCACCGAACCACGATGTAACTTATAAAACAGAACCAAGAACTATTGGAATGGATACGGACTCACCAGCTCCCTCCATTCCCACCAGCTCAACAATAGCCCCCTCCACCGCCAGCAGGGCACGACACTCCCCTTCGAGGACACCAAGGACCTCCTCTTCTCGATTGCTAAGAACCCTCAGGCTACTATGGCCGAGGTGTTAGCAAAGGTTGAAAAGTACATCAACGGCGAAGAAGCTCTTAGCCTGAAAGGAAGTTCAGCAACGCCGGAAGGGGACAAGAAGAAGCGAGACCATAGCCCCAAAAGAGAGAAGAGGCGTGACCGGTCCCTGAGAAGAGACCACTCTTCGAGAAGAGAAAGAGAGCCTTCCACTAAGAGGAGAGGAAATGTCCTAGATCGGCTAGGACCTCCTCCGCAGGAGCTGCAACCGCGGTATGCTCCAACTCGACTTCCACCCCTTGTCACCTCGATTGCTCAGGTCCTCTATGAGGTTTAAAACGAAAGATTCATCCGATGGCCACTGCGAATGAAATCTGACCCCAGCAGGCGGGCTGCCACTAAGTACTGTGAATACCACAAAGACACCGGCCACGGGACAAACGATTGTATACAACTCAAGAAAGAGATTGAATATCTAATCCAAAGGGGACACCTGCGCCACTACTTGGCAGCAGATGGAAGAGCCCGGAATAATCAAGGTCGAGAAGACCGAGCTGCCCCAAAACCCCCTCAGCAGCACTAACAAGCCCTTGGTGAAATCTGCGTAATCTCTGGCAGGTTCGCCGGAGAAGGCGAATCCAGCTCAGCAATTAGAGCACATGCTCGGAAAGCACAATCAGAAGATCACCTTGAAATCCATACCATATGAAAGGTGTCTCGCCGAGAAATGGAGATCACTTTCTCGAACGCGGACCTCGGAGAATGCCAATAGCCACATGACGACCCCCTGGTCATAAAGGCGATCGTCGCCAGCAAAACTGTGCACCAAGTTCTCGTCGACAACAGAAGCTCCGCTGATATCATTTTCTTATCGGCTTTCGACCATTTGGGCATAGAAAGGTCGAACCTCGAACCCGTGAAATCCCACCTACTAGGTTTCTCGGGCAAAAAGGTCCTACCAATTGGGTCCATCCAACTCATCCTCCCTATCGGGGAACAGCCCTACCAGACTACGATCGTCGCTTGGTTCCTGGTAGTAGACACTTCATCCGCCTACAACATCCTATTGGGTAGGCCATCTCTTAACTCCATCAAAGCGATCCCTTCGGCATATCATTTGGTGATGAAATTCCCCACAGAGAATGAGGTCGGCATGGTCAGGGGAAACCAACGCTTAGCCAGAGAATGCTACATTTTGTCGGTGAAACAAAGGGAGGTGGAATTAGTCTACCTCGAAGACCTGGACATGAGAGACGAACTAGATACCAGGCCTACCCCTACAGAGCAATTGGAGCCCATACAGTTGGACGAAGACCTGGGGCACGTGGTGTTCATAGGGTCAACGTTGTTCCCGCCCATCAAGAAGAAGCTCATCTCGTTCCTAAAGGCAAATGCTAATGCTTTCGCCTGGAAACAAAAGGATATGGAGAGAATAAACCCCACAGTGATCGTGCATCGTTTGAGCGTTGATTCAAGCTGCAAGCCTATCAGGCAGAAGAGAGGAAGCTTCGCACCAAAAAGGCAAAAAGCCATTAACAAGGAGGTGGCTAAGCTGCTATGGGCCAAGGCCATCAGGGAAGTCGATTACCCGACTTGGCTAGCCAATGTGCTTGTAAAAAAGGTAAATGACAAATGGCGAATCTATATTGACTTTACCGACCTGAACCGGGCATGCCCCAAGGATAGTTTCCCCTTGCCTCGAATAGATCTGATTGTCGACGCAACCGCTGGCCACGAGCTCCTCAGCTTCACAGATGCATTTTTGGGCTACAATCAAATCAAAATAGACCCCAACAACCAGGAGAAGACATCGTTTATCACAGAACAAGGGGTATATTGCTATCAAGTGATGCCTTTCGGCTTAAAAAACGCCAGAGCTACCTATCAGAGACTAGTCAACAGAATGATCTGTGAAAAGCTCAGCCTGACCATAGAAGTCTACATAGACGATATGCTAGTAAAATCAATTAAGGCCGAATCCCATATCCACCACCTCAGGGAATCTTCTGAGATTATGCGCCAATACAGAATGAAGTTGAACCCGGCAAAATGTGTCTTTGGGGTATCAGCAGGGAAGTTCCTAGGGTTCATAGTCAACAGCA